CACACCTGGAACTTCAGTGTACCATCCACATATGGATGGTAGGGAGAACAGGGCAATATCACCTGTCAGAAGGAGAAGGGTTCAGTTGAGGACAGAAAACAATGCAACAGGGAATTACTAAAACTATTCACAGAGAATATGAAACCTTGGATTTGAGAGCCTGAAGTCCCCTAAGCAGCACATGTATATTTACCAGGATTATTTTTTGTTGCTGAGGCAGTCAGGGTTAAGTGACTTGCCCAAGGTCACACAGCTAGTTAGTGTCTGAGGCTAGATTTGAACTCACATCCTCCTGACTCCAGGGCCCATACTCTATCCATGTGCCACCTAGCTGCCTATCTCAGTATTATCTTATAGAGCTGTGCTAGGTCCTAGGAGTACATACAGCAAGTCTCCTGGAGGGCCTAATATGCTGCCTCAAAATTCTTAGTTGATGGACTTCCTGTCATGACAAAAGTCACTCCCCTCTTCGAAAACTTTCCATGGCTCCCTATTGCCTGTAGGATAAAATATAACCTCTTTAGCCTGGCTTTCAAGGCCCCTGACAACCCGGCTCCAGCTACAGACGACTGAGGAGGAAACATACCTCCATTCTCTTGGTAAAGAGATGGTGCATTGCAACATGGACTGATGCATACATTCTCAGACATAGTCAAAGTGTCAGCTGGTTTGGGCTAACTGTACCACAAGGGTACAGTTACGCAGATGGAGGGAAGGGGCAGGAATAGAAGCAACAATGGGAAAGGAGATCCAAGCTGGACCACAGCAGCTCCCTGAACTCAACAGATACCACCTCTTGCCTCTGGGCATTTGCCCAGGCTGTACCCCATTCCCAGAATGCACTCCTCTCCTCATTTTCACTTTTTGGAATTCTTCTCTTCCTTCATTTCCTCCTATCATCCTCCCTCCCCCCTGCAAATGGTGGTTCTCTCCTTACATTTCCCTAGATCAATTTGCTTGGTCTCTTCTCTGTCCCATTAGCCTCTCATTATGTTTATTTATGACTATGCCTCATTCTTCACTGCCTGAGTGGAGGCCCTAGGTTATGCTAATCTTTATACCTCCAGCTCCACCTGGGCATTAATAAAGGTCTGCTGAAGTTAGGTGAAATTCAATGTGGAAAGGGGAAAGAAGGCCCTCCCCTCTGCCAAAGAGCTCGTATGACATTTAAGCTGTCCTTGGCCCACTGTTTTCTGCTGACTTCCTTCCCCTTCTATCTCTCTCCTGCCCGAGCGAATCCTTGCCTACTCTACTCCCAGCCTCCCCCCTCCCCCACCACCCCAGGGATCAGCAAACCCCCTTCTTTTTCTTTGTCCTAGCTTCAACCCTACAGAGGAGAAAATGCTACAGAAAAATGGCGTCCCCTCCCCCACTCCAGCCCATATCTTTTAGCACCAGCACCTCATAGGAGTGTGCAGTCATTACATTCCTCTTTGGTTGTAGCCAAGTGTCTGGTGTGGTTTTTTAGTTCTTCCTCCTAATGACTGCAGGAAATCAATCCATGATATTTATAACGTAGGCTCTCCGAAGGTAGAAACCATGATATGGGTATGTATATATCTACATCTATTGACATATACATACACACATACACACAAATATGTATGTGTATATAAACACCATGGTTTCTATATACCCACAGTTCTCATATACACAACATAAATAATATATACCGAGAAAGTAAATGTACACACTATGGACATGTCTGGATACATATATACATGTGTGGTTTTATATATGCATATATACACCTACACACATATACATACACGCATGTGTGTATGCACACATAGTAAGGAGGAAAGGAATGCCAGAAGCTGGGATTTCATCAGTGTGATGAACTCCCAGGGAGGAATCTCTCTCCACTAACACAAATCAGCGCCTGCTTTGTAAGTTACAGCCTTAGAACCTTACCTGTGGCCCGGAGAGATCAAGGGATTTGCTTGGGACCAGGCTGCCCGGTCCGGTAGGTGTCAGAGGCAGAAAATGAATCCAGATCTCCCTGCCTTTGAGATGAGCTCTCTATCCCATTCTACCATGGGATCTCACAACACTACTATTATTGATGAGGATAACTGATAATTAGGGGTGGCTAGGTGGTGCAGTGGATTGAGTGCTGAGCCTGGAGTTAGGAAGACCTGAGTTCAAGTCTGACTTCAGACACTTACTAGCTCTGTGACTCTGGGCAAGTCATTTAATCTCTGTTTGCTTCAGTTTCCTCATCTGTAAAATGGAAATAATAATAGCAGAGTTGTTGCAATCAAATGAGATAATAATTGTAAAGCACATAGCACAGTGCCTGGGCACGTAGCAAGCACTATATTAGCTACAACAATGAAAAATTAAATGTTCTAGGTATATGCATGCATAAACACACATATATGTACACATAATACATGCATGTATTTAAATGAAAATATATCTATTCCCCCCCTCCACGGAGGTGAGGGAGGGGGGAGATAAATAAAGCTCTGTGTTCAAGCCCAGACTCTCACCTATTCAGGCTGTATGATCTAACTTCTCAGTGCCTCAGACAACTTTCTAAGAATAAATTATAGACATGTTGTTGACTATCAGCAGATCAGAGGAGACTCTAAGGGAGGAAGTGTCTCCAAAAGGAGCTCCCTGTATCATTGAAATCTTAGGTCTGAACCAAAATATTCAAATCAAAACAAACCAAAAAAAAAAAACAAAACAAAAACCAAACAATGAAAAAGACCCCGATCTTCAAAATGACTTTGAGCTTGTACCTAAGAAACAAATGCACAAGCAGCACAACCAAGTCAACCTAGCTAAGGTTAACTGTTGGTCCATGAGACTCAGTCCCAGGGGAATGCGTCCAAGCAGAGTCAGGATTTCATTTCTCAGGACTCAGAATACGGTAACAGGAAGCACGTTGGCTGAAGAGTCTGGAAATTTGAGATCTAGTCCCAGCATGTAACTTCGGGGAACTCACTTAACCTCACTGGACATCAAATTTTCTCACCTATGAAATGTGGGTGTTAAACTACATGCCTCTGTACCCCACAAAGGTCCTTTCTACTTTTAAATCTGCAACTTTATGACCTTTAGCCTTCCAGGTCAAGACTGGCAGGTGGCTTCCAAGAGAGAGAAAAGAAAAAAGAAAACGAAAACAGCTGGCACGCCATGGCCCTCATCCCTACCAAGGCAAATGACAGTGACCCAAGGCAATCTGGTATGCCCTTCCGGATTAGGCACTAAAATTACATTTTAAAAGAGATTTCTAAATGCTGTAATGTTTGCAAAGAGCTTCACATATATTATCTCACTTTTGCCTCACAACAACCTCGTAAGAAAGATATTATGATGATGATATGATGATGATGATCGCGATTTTGCAGCTGATGAAAAGTTAATCAGGAGTGGGGAACCTGCAGTCTCAAGGCTACTTGTGGTCCTCTAGGTCCTCAAGTGTGGCCCTTTGACTGAATCCAAACTTTACAGAAGAAATCCCCTTAATAAAAGGATCTGTTCTGTAAAACTTGGACTCAGTAAAAGGCCGCACCTAAGGACCTAAAAGCCCACATATGGCTCTCAAGGCTGTAGATTTCTTACCTCTGGGTTAAATGATTGGCCGATAGTCACACAGCTATCAACCACCAGAAATGAGATCTGGACCCAGGACTTCCAGACTCCAAATTCAGCACCCTGACCACTAGGCCATGCTGCTTCCCATCGGTTAGTTGGTCATTGTCCGTCCTTCTCGAAGAGGACCAAAATGACATCGCTGTGTTGGGGTCAAGGTATAGTGTGTCTAATTGTGGCTGCTCAGACCAATATGAGTTCAGAAGGTTGTATCCCAGGTTGGGCACAAATAGTCCACATGAACATTTGGAGTGGGGAAGGCTCTACATTTGCACATCTGTCTCCCACTACACTAGGGAATAAGAGAATATATCCCCAACACTAAGAGACATATAGTTGGGTGTAACATCGCTTTGTTCACTGGGATATGTAAAAAAAAAAAAATGCTTATAAAGCACTGAGGATTATTTTCCTGTATATTATAACAATCTACATAAAGCACTTTTGTAATTGTAGAGTGCTACTTATATTTTCTCATTATGGCTGCTAGATAGCAGAGTGGATAGAATGCTGGGCTTGGAGTTAGGAAGAATTCAAATTTGGCCTCAGACACTTATTAGCTGTGACCCTGGGCAAGTCACTTAACTTCTGTCTGCCTGTTTCCTCATCTTTAAAATGAGGGTGTTAATTAATAGCACCTACTTCCCTGTAGGTTGTTATGAGGAAGAAATGAGAAAATATTTGTAATGCATTTTCCAAACCCTATAGTGCCCTAAGTGTTAACTATTATATTCATTATTATTATTAATTTGACCTTCACAACAGTCCTATAGGACATACAGTACAATTACTTTTCTTCACATGTTACTGATGAGGAAACAGAAATTTAGAAAGGTCTAGTAATTTGCTCAAGGTCATATACTAGAATAAATGTCAGAATAAGGAACGTAACCTTGATCTCCTGACTCCAAGGAGGCCGAGGTTCTTTCCATCATAGTGGGGACAGATGAATAAAAAGTACATCTCTGTGTGAAACTAAAAATAGTACCATAGAGGCAAAAACCAGCCAAGTTTAAAAATCATATATGCTAATGTGTGGGGACAGTCTGCTATCAACTCATTCATGCTAAGCATTCTCAGGCAGACTGCTAAATGGTAACTGTCTCCCATTTTGACAGTTGATGTTGCTATGGAAACATGGATCACGCATTTCCTGATTTTTAAGGTTATTCCTTTAAATTGGTAACAAGCCATATGTGTAGCCACTCTATGCTTCTAAATAACCTCCAGAAAGGAAAAAAAAAATGGGACAGCCATTACCATGAGAAAAATTAAAAGGAAGGCAGGGAGGAAGTTTTGGGCTATTTACATCCTTTTATTTATTTGTACACTAATCATTTCTCCAGTTTTTCACAGGACAGCAAAGTGACACAGTGGATAGAGTACTGGCCCTGAAGTCAGGAGGACCTGATTTCAAATCTGGCCTCAGAT